TAATAGTTGACAAACAGGCACTTAAAAGAACTTGAATCAAACACGGGATTAATAGGATAAGCATCACAATTTTTATTTCTTATTCACCACAGATACTTCAACCTTCGTCTCTATTACGAAGTACACCTCTATGATTTATTTCAACGGAATTCAATATTTTTCTTTAAAATCTTGTAAAATAATAAATATATCATTTTTCGTAAGTAAAATAAAAATAAAAACGTTAAAAATTAATTGTAATCGTAATCCCAATTTTTTTTTTTTTAAAAATGTAAACAAATCCTAAATAAATAATAAAAAACTAAATTAAAAAAAAAAAAAAATCTCTCTCTCTCTCTCTCATCTACCCATCTTCCTCCTACCCACCGTCACCACCTCGGGTAGACATCGAGCTATTAACCGCCTTAATTACCCTTTCACCTGTCTTCCATAATTGGGGTAGTTCCATTAGTACAATTGTGAAGGGCCTTGCGATTGCCAGTGATGTAATGTAGCCACTAATTCCGTTGCAATATCGATGCCTAGAAAAATAGTCGGTTAGTCAAGAAATAGAATCATGCTACATATATAACAATGGTTGACAACATTGGACACTTGGACGACAACATCTTACTTGGTATCATCATATCAATCAATTGTAAAAAAACTGATTTCTGATTTTTACATCACATGGTAGAATTTTGACAACACATGGTTGTCAACCAATGTTGTACACTTAGATTTATTCCAAGAAATAATTTATAAATACAAGAAATGCAAACGGGTTATTAGTACAAAAATGTCCATACTTTCAATTTTTTGCATTTTCACTCATATTTTCACGTTTCATTGTAAAAATCGTCATTTTCATCTAATTTCTCAATAAAAATTTGTAAAATGACGAATATACATTCGTATTTAAATAAAACAAAAAGGAAATAAAAATAAAGAACAAATTGTAACCATTTCTCAAATTTTAAAAAAAGTACAAATAAATCCCAAATAAATAATTAAAAAATAAAAATAAAAAACAAAAATTACTTTCTTTCCTCATTTCTCTTCCACTGCCACTATCGTTCGCCGGTAACCACCACCACCATATAGCCCTCCATTCCTGCATCATAACATACCAACCTACTCACCCAAACCCCACCAGATCTGATTGCAGTTGGCAGCCAAAGCCTCCAACTTTCGAACACGAAGCCCAACGACACCATGACTTCCAACGACTTTCACGGTCGCGGCCCACCACCAACAAGTTCCCCTCATCAAGGCGACCTAAATCATGATCAAACATCAACCAAAACAACCTCTCATTGATTTGCTGTGCCTTAGAATTTTTTTGTAAGCGCGACGCGCGAAGAACCAAGTATGGCTCCATCAATTCTCGTAGCCCAAAGCACTAGTGTCCCAAATTGGATTTGGCCTCAATCAAACCTCCAACAGCCCCAATCAACAATAGAAAATGATCAAGTTGTTCTAATTATCCTCCCAAATGATCCAATTTTTGGATAAAAAACATTCGCAAATCGTGATGAATATTTTCACAAAATTGATGGGTTCCACGAGTTACAATCATCCATTCACTTTGGAGAATTCAAATTGAGACACAAAGATTCATGGATAAATTGCCAATTGCATCAATTACACACCCAATTATTCAATTTCAGCAGTGAGTTACTGCGTGTGGGTACCAAATTTGAGATTCGGATTCCAAGCTAAGTGGTGACTGATGTGGGAACTGGAATTGTTTTGTTGAATGAGCTGTAAGGGTTTGTTGAAAATTACAGAGACTCCGACGATAGAATGAAAGTAGGGATTGTTTATTGGCATGGTTAGCGATTGTTGGGGTTCGACCGACGAGTTGATTGGTGGGGTTGTACAATACCACCAAATTCACATATTTCACACAGTTTATTTATGGTTTAATGGTGATGAAGGCGGTAGTGGCGGTGGCGGTGGAAGAGAAAGAAGGAAAGAAAGTGATTTTTTTTGTTTTTTTTTTAAATTTTAATTTTTTTAATTATTTATTTATTTTTTGGAAGAATTTAAGCGTAAGGTTGCAATTTGTTATTTATTTATTTTTCTTTGTGTTTTATTTAAATAATAGTGTATATTTGTCATTTTATAAATTTTTTTAATTAAGAAATTGGATAAAAATGGTGATTTACAAAATGAAACATGAAAATATGGGTAAAAATGCAAAAAAATAAAAAAAAAAGAATCATGCTACAAGTATATTAAGTTTCACATCAAGTTTTACATTGTTACACGTGACGTTATCACATTGGACAGTTTTTGNCATGTGACGTTATCACATTGGACAGTTTTTGAATTTAACACACTTTCCCTCCAAACCGTTTTTGAATGTACACACAATGTTAAATTTCATGTAAAGCAAAGAATGTACAAATAGCATTATTCAAAAAAAAAAAAAATTGAAGCATAGAGATTTTTCGCACTGAATGTCAAACGTTTTGTTCTAATAACCCAAATGCAAACTATCAGTAGGCATAAAGTCATAAAATTGTTCAACCCAGATATCTATTTTCAAATCTACAATGACAAAGGATTTGCTTTTTGCCATATTTGCTTCTTGATATTATTTTGGTCGAATAAATTTGCAATTCAATTTTTTTCTTCCATGTTTCAATTGCTTCCTTTCTTCTTGCTATCTTAATTGATTTTCTCGCTATCATATACTATAACAAAATTGTGATTTCACGACATTCAAAAAGTTGTCGTAATAAGTGACTTAACACGACATATTTTTAAAGTTTATCCTGAAGATTGTGATGAAAAAATAAGTAACGAAAAATATAAGACGACGTAAAAAGTTATCGTGAAATGTGAGCAGTTACGATAAATAATAAAGAATTCCATCAAAAATATGAGGGATTGAGAAACTTATAGCGACAAACTTTTATTTCTTGCAACAAAGTGCTTGTGATTCAATAGGGTCTACTTTTATTAAAAAAAAAAAAAAAATTGTTTCTAAAAATTCTATAATTTGAGGAAAATATTGCTACAAAAAAAATATTTTTTTTGCGATCAACAAAAACAATGCTCACCATATATTGTAGGCTCTAATGTTATCGTAAATTAGAAGGATGGGGCAACGTACAATGCACATTGCAAAAGCCCTCAAATGTACGTTGTTGTAAAATTTTTACGACATATCTCTTCTGTTACTTTTATTGTATTGTGTAACACTCTTTGCTTGTTGTCTTAACTTTCTTTTGCAACGTTATTTTTTTGTAACAAGTGTTTGTTTTTTCGTCTGGCTAAATTTTAATATGCAATACAATTTTTTTAAAAATTTTAATTATTTTTTATTAACAAGAAAAGTTTTATAAAATTTCTAGAAAAAAATTTATTTCCAAAAAATTTGAAAAAATAAAATTATTAGACGATTAAACTTTCAATCACATAATAATTTACAAAGAAGAACTACTAGGTCGAACCAAACCATAAACAAAAATAGATGTCTGAACACTTAAAGCAAATAAATAAACAAATCATAATTCATATATTATCAGCAGGCGGTGACATGCTGAACATTGTTACTGGTTCAGATTGTCGTGGAGACATGTCAACTTGACTCGATACAAACTTATGCATTAGTGTCTCAAATTGAGAAAGTCGGGCATGCATATTTAATAATTCTTGCTCCTACTTCTGTATTTTCTCTCGAATGGTTCTTGACTCGGTATCAATTAATGTCAAATGGATAGAGTCGCTTAAGGTAGGTTTTGGACCATGTCCAAGTCCTCTAATGCAACATCTAGATTTTTCTAAAACCTCCTACATATTCTCAAGTTCAGTGGAAACATTAAATCCCTCTAAAACATGTTGTTTTTTAATCTGAATCATCATCTCCTTTATATAAGTAAATAGAGAAGATGAAATATATATTAATAATAAAATATATTAAATAATGTCAATAAAGATGAATAAACTGTTAATATACTTACATATCTCGTTCATGTTTCATCGTTTATCCATCATTTCTTTTCCCCGTAATGAGTCTCATAATAAAGGTTTATGTGCGTTTTTAGTAATTGATCTCTATTTGAAATAATATGTATCGTGTAACATAAATATATTTTTCTTTATAAATTCAAAAAGAAAAGATTACATTTTCTTCAAGATGTACGACAAAGAATTTTGATCCGCTGCGATGATTATATTTAATGCAGTTTTGGCTTGCTAAATTACGTGTGGATAGTGCCTGAAATTAATTTATATATAAATATAATTAACTTCTATTATAATTTATTATTTTAACATAACATCTAAATTATATTATTTTTAATATTTACAAATATCAATATTTTTAATAAAAGTTACTTGAAATTCAAGGATAGACCAATATTGACACAGTCAGTTCCAATCAACTTGCTTTATGTCAGTTGGACAGTTCTTTATTGCATCATCTAATGTTTTTCCATTGAAATATTTCTCTTTAAGTCTACATCTATAATCACGATATCCTCTCGCTAAGATATCTTCACACATTTATGGGCATCCTTAACAATCAAATCGAGCTTGAATTTTGTCTCCCAAAAAAAGATAAAGTGTTTGTATATAAATTAATTATTTATAAAAATATAGGAAACTAATAACTATTCAACAAAAATTTTGTAAAAAAGTGAATTTATTTATGACTTACCAAAACTCGATCATATAATTTATTTATATTTCATTGGGTATGTTATTACACCTTTTGCAATGGGTGGAGCAAATGATCGAACGAAGTAGCCAAACGTGCTTGCTGATTTCCAATAGCTCTTCCCAATTTTTTAGAAATTTTTCAGTGATATTTTTCCAGCTGCACTGACAATATCATCAGTGCCATTACCTCTTGCAGGACCACGTCCTTTCATCTTCAAAGAATGAGAATCTATGCAATAAATTATTCGAAGGATGAGAATATATACACACAAAATGAGATTCTATCAATTAAATGTATACGTTAGGATTATTTTATATCATAAATATAAAGATATATTACTACAGTTGGAATTGAGAATGGTCTCATGTGTCAATGTGGTTGCATGTGATGAATTACGTTGAGGCTGAGATAACAGGGCAGGAACCTGAAGAGGTTGAAGTAATAGATTAGGAATTTGAACATTACTAGTCTGAGACAATGAAGAAGATATATTAGCTTGAGGAGTAGTTTGGGATAATGGACCCTTGCACGATGCCTTTGACGAGGAAACTTTTGAAGGCGGCTCGTAGGATGTAGAAAAAATTCTATTTTCATGCTAATTCTTGTTTGAGAAGCCATTATCTACCAAGAAAAAAGTGATTATTTTCAACCAAAAAATGTGTCTCCATTCTTGACCATTGTTTAATAATATTAACAAGTATTCAGGATTTGGTTCAGAATTCTTAGTAAAAATCCAAAATATGCTCTGTATTCTCCCTTTTTTTTGCCTCTATAACCAGAAGAAAATAGAAGCCAATATTCACCATAACATGGCAAAATTTACTCCTTTCAAAATTATACAAGTTCACATAAACGAGTTCAAATTTTTTCAAGGCTCAACATACATCATAAGTATTCAATTGCTACCCAACCTTTTCACCACAACATAGCAAGACTTCGGACATTATTACTAAGAACTTACTCTTTTATATCAGAATTATAATTAATACATACAAGGCTGGAGTTAATCTAAATTTATATTTTGTTAGGTGTTTATTTGATTAGCATAAAATGAAGGTGTGATAATTCCTGGTCCAAAGAATTATTTGTTCTAATTCTCTTTAAAAATTCAGTTGCAGCCCACTAGTCCTAACCCTTGATTTCTTTTTAAAAACATATTTGGTGATTAATTAATGGGTTATACTAAGATTACACATATTTCGTCGTGTTTCATTTTTTACCAGGGTTTGTAACCAATGCCAATATTTTCTTGGTATTCATGCTAGTTTATCTAAATATTTGAGTGCCTTAAATAAGCAAGGATTACATGAAAGAATTATATTATTTGTACCATTTGGGGTACACTTTGATTTGCTCGACCCCACCTCCTCCCTCACATGGGGGTTGGGTCCTACATTCAATAAATGCATGGACCCGAGCCCCATGTGAGGGAGGGAGTGGGATTAGGTAAACCAACATATACCCTACCCCAAAGGGTACACGTAGCAAGATTGGGAGAATATAGTGTGATGTATACAGATGATATGCTACCGGATTGTGCTAATCATTACCATAATTGTATAAATGAGATTATGGTCCTAAATAGAGGTGTCAATCCGGGTGGTCTGGGCCGGGTCGGCCCGCCAACATGTGAGCCCGGTAACGGCCCGCGTGAAAAAAAGCCCGCCCGCTGCGGGTTCCGGGCCGGTTACGGGTCGGCCCACAATTTTGGACTACAACCCAGGCCCGCCCGCTGACCCATCCGGGTCGAGCCCATGCGGGTCACGGGTCGCGCGGGTCGCGGTTCGTTCCAGTTTGGCCCGTATGATTGTATAAATAAAATTATAAAAATATAGAATTTTTCATATTTATAGCAAAAAATATTTTTTTTTGTTAAATGTAAACTAAGAATTGAACAAAATGATAAATTCATAATTATATCAAGAAATTTTTACATAGAATTCAAATTTAATGTTACATGAATTATTTATAACTTTGCAAACTTAAATTTAACTTAAACAAATAACAACTACATCAAAATGCATGTCTAATTATTATTATCAAATATTTATAGTATAAGTACATCCCAATTAGGTTGACACCTACTTCACTATAATTTAGTTGTTCAAAAATATTATTTTTGTTTTCCAATCAATCTTCAGGAATTGCAAGATTTTTGAAGTTTTCAGCAATATCATCAATAATTTTATCTTGTATCCTTCGATGCGCGAATATCCAATCTTTCACGCATATGAGAGCTTCCAAAATATCTTCTTTAAGTCTAAATTTTCTTTCGTCCAATACCGAGAAGAAAGAAATATAATCAAGATGATGATGATATTTGCAATTGAATAATTGTAATTGTAGTAAGGTAGTAACAAGTATGAATTATGAAGTATAAATGTATAATAACTAATGAGAGGCAGAGAGAGTATTGTAAAAATAATTGTAAGAATAAATTGAAATTTATAGATGAAGGGGATGATATTACCGTTAGAAAAAAAATTAAATTGAATTTTTTTATTTTTATTTTTTCAATTTTTTTTGTTTGGCTCTCCCCCCTTTTTTTAATTTTTGTTATATTTTTTTTTCAATTTTTTTTACTGGCCGCGGGTTAACCGCGGCCCGTGGGGGTGCAACCCGCGAAGCCCGCGGGTTACACCTCCTTGGCCCGTTAACCGCTCGCACGGGTCACGGGTCGGCCCGAGGTCCCGGTTTTCACGGGTCATGGCCGGCCCGTCTGTCTTGACACCTCTAGTCCTTAACGGTATAGCAAAACAGAGCTATTCATGTAATTGATAAACATGAAATTTTTGGGTACAATTAAGATCACGGTGTATGTACTGGACTGCTAAAGTAGAAGACTATTATATCAAAGGGTTGAAGAAATGAAAACTGTCCTTGAGAAGAGATGCCTAATCCTTGTTAGGTAGCAGGCTTGATGGAGTATCTTAATTGCCAAATCCCATCAGTGGAAAGACATTATGGATATAACCATCATGAAATAGAAGCAAGTATCTGGTTGGAATAGCCCTGAAGTACTGACCTCTTGTACTTGCTGTTTGGCATGCTCTTCAAGTATTTTCTCTAAACGTTGTTTCATCCCTTCCAATTTAGCAACCCGATTCTCTCGATCTTTGATAGATGCTGCTTTCACAGCCGCCGCTTTCACAGCCGTCCTTTCTGCCAGAATCTGCTGCCTTTATTCTTTCTGCTCTCTCTCATTCTCTCTCTGAATCTAAAGATGAAGTTGAATGTGTCTCAGAATGAGACTCACCATTGTTTCGAGAAGAACCCTTCTCCATAGATCTTAAACTTCTAGAAACTACTTTCAACTTATTGATCTTTAACATTGCACTCTTAAAACTCTCGCCATCCTTTAATTGACACTTCATATCCGATTTCCTATCAAGAGAGGCTGGGACCATCTCCATAGAACAATTGTCATATATCAGACCATCTGTAGGACGAAGCATCTCTCCATCTCCAATGCTATTGACCTCTTCATTTTTTTCATATATTTGCCTCATTCTTGTTATCAGGTACAAATGCATCACTCATGTCTTCTAGAACTGATTCACCTCCCTCATTCTGCAACTCAATAATCGAAGTTCTTGCCCTCTCACCTCCAACGTCACTTGTCATCCCATATGTGTATCTTGTTCCCCATGACGTGTAGAAGCCAAGAGTGTAAGCCCGAGACCATGGTTTGAATCGCTGGCGCAGAATTTGGGAAATAAGGTGCGTAGTTTGCTTTTCTTTTTTTGTCAAAGTTGAAAAAAGCAAATCAATTGATTATAACAACATTGATTTGAAATAATACATAAATATTCAATAGAACAATTTCATTAATAGCAATAAGTTTCAAGCATCGTCAATAATATATCAGAACTTGAATGGGCAGGCTTTCTTGTAGAGCTTACATTCAGAAAGTGTTAAGATAAGGAAGCAAGAAACAAAGAAAAGTTAAAATGATGTGAAACGGAAATTTAATCATGATGAAATCAACAGCTTTTCAAATTTCAATCATGGAAGCACGGTTTAATTTTTTTGTACAAATATTTTCCTACATTTCAGTTCCTGAAAAGGTAGATTACAAAAAATCTCATTTACTCATCTTCAGTCCCTATATTTTGATTGTTCTATAGCATGATGCTTATGTTCTAACTATAGCAGTAAAACACACCAGTAGAAATTCTAAACATGTACCAGTTGAATTTGGTTTAATAAAAAATGCACGAGTAGCCTCTTACCTTTCTAATTTCATCCCATAGCTTGCAGAAATTGGCATTGAGAGGACCGTGAACATTGTGGCAGAGTTCGTGGAGCATTGTATCTAGAATCTCATTAAATGGGTAAAATTGATCATCTCTGTTTGGACCCTAAGCCTCAATTTTACATGTATACCTTTTCCTACATTCAGACCCAAGAGAGTCGAGTTTTTTAGCCTGCAAGTTTATATGTTGGCACAATCCACATTAATAGTAAAAATTACCAAAATCACATTTTGAGGAGAAATCTCAATTTCCACTTTTCTTTTCTTAAAGCATTTCGGATCCAAAAAAGAATTATAGATGTCAATAAAATCTACAGAAATAATAAATATTGAAAGAAAAGAGGTAAAAAGAAAAAAAATAATACCAGAACTCGGAGAGAACTTTGACTCTCCAAGTGTGTTTACTCATAATGGGTTGAACCTGTTTGGCGACTCTCTCCAGAATCTTTCGAGCTTCTTCTTCATTTGGCTTTCGTTTTAGGGCCTTGATTTCCCATATCTTATTGAATTTGGATCTGAGAAACATGTGTCCTCCGCGTGCGGTGGCTGCTGCCTCCGTATGTGGAGGAACCGCACGTGGAGGATCGTGCAGAGGCAGGTGCCTCCGTGGGCGGAGACGTCGGTGGCTTGTGGGTTGGAAAAGATTCCAACTGGGTTCATCAGAGATGTGGGTTTGGTGGCTTGGAATTTATTAGAATTTGCAATAATAAATTCTAATGGAGTAATCTGGTAATGGATTTAAATAATACCATCCAATATTCAAAAATCACCGACCAAAACAGATATCTAATCTTCGTTCATCAAACTTACCTGACCACCGGCATTAGTACCATCAGTATGAAAGTAAATAGGGCGACATCTCATCTTCGTTCATCAAGTTCGAATTATGTAAGTATGCAATGAGGGATAACATGCTGACTTGGGGGAAGAACACACTTACCCACCACTTCTATGTACTCCATTAACCCAGCCACACACACTCGTCTATGCAACAATTCAATAAAAATGTCTGGACAGAGTTTGGAGACACAGATGTTAGAGTCACTGAGGGAGGAGATCGGTAGATTTAGCTTTTCTTTTTTTCGAGCGGGCTGGGCACTTTTCTAGCTTATGACGCTTACATCAAGGAGTAAGCTTTTGGTTGGACATGATTGAATTCAAAATTTTGGGCGGTATTCAATTCAAAAAATCTGGACGGTATCAAGAAACATAATTTTTTATTTTTTTTTATCTTGGATGGGATGGAGGCGATAATTATGGGCGGGAATACTGTTTCTGCAGCTATCCTCCTTTAATATAGTATAAGATATTGTAGACAATTAAATTTAGTTATTTTTAGGAAAAAAGAAAAAAATTGATTTATTTCTCAACGTAAAGTCAGCACTACTTTTTTTATTTCTCAAAAATGGTCCATAAAGTGATGGTTTTGATTAGTGTTCTAGTCCCATTATAAAACTGCTACTTTACCTTTTACAGAAAAAGTATTAGTAATTCAATTAGTCACTCATTTCAAGATATTTTTTTGTTACAAAAAAAAAAATGTTAAATATTTGAATATGAATAAAAAAAATTGAGAAAAAGATAAATCCCATTTGTAAAATTTTTTCGTAAATGATAAGACGATAACATTCAGAATTCGAGTATTATCTATATATTCACTACATAATTAATTATCATATTCCTTTAAAATACATGACCAGGTCAACAAATTGACTATAAAGGATTTAATTCTTAGTCATGATACGATTGAAATTAATTTGGTTGATTTAACAATTGATACCAAAAATTTTAGTGAGGTTCCAATCTTTATTTTTACGTAACTGTCCGTTAGGCTATTATAAATTTGAAATATATAATAAGGCTATATCATATTAATGACATAATAAAGTTTAATTGTTATTAGTCAGTTCACATGTACCACTTCATTGTACCAAGTAGATGATTAGGATTAATTGTTGTAAATATAATTTAATAGAATTCATGTAGTCATCATTGCATCTTTAATTGTTAGGACTTTCCTTATTTCTTTATGGTATAGATTTGATGAGATATTATTTGACTTTCTCAAGTATGCAATAACTTATACAACAACATTAACTTGTTAGGGAAAAAAACAATTTTTTGTTCTTGGATTTATACATAATTTACAAGAATTAAAGGGCGAATACTTATGTGATGTTGTGTTTTCATTACTTGTCATGTTTTAATTTTTCCGTATCGAATATGTACTTAAAGTCACCACACGAAGACAGATTAAACCATTATATCTATTCTTTGGAGCAATAAAAGAAACAAAAAACTAGCAAAAACACAAATTCATCGTAGGTCATACTCAATATGAGAACTACGTTTAAATCGTTGTTATTTATAAGGTTCATACTCAATGAATTTACTTTTATAATTCAAAAATCTTATTAATCGTTATTATTCATAAGGTCCAATTCAATAGTACACTTTTTTTTTTCTAATAGAAACTTAGCAAAATTTTATTAGTTCAACTGAAAGATTACAAAGTTTGATGGAATTGTTAACTAATAAATTTTGGAAATTTGCAAAATACCTCACAAGAAAACTAATCATCATATTAGTCTTGTCAGATCTGTTAATTTAGACTGTATCAAGAGTGAACTTCTCGATACTAAGACAATGTCTGTAGATAAGTGACATGCATTATGCCTGGACAACGAATATAGCTATCAAAATCTCTATAAGAAGCTCATGTCATAATTTAGAATTTAACATATCTTGTTCTCTCAATTTCTTTAATTGTTACAACGGAATTTAACGTATCTTGTTTTTGGAGCTCGACAGTGAAAGGTGGCAGCTATGCATCTATGGTAGGAGATTGTGAGGAAAGACAAAGAGATGGGAAAAAGCGGCTAGTGCTGAGCTTTGAGGATTGGGGTTTGTTGCTTGGTGGGGAATGGGTGGAGGTGATGGCTCTAGATATGGGTAACGATGGTGATGCTGAAGAGGTGGTGTTAGTATGTAAATAGGAAGATGAGGCAGGTGTAGCGGTGGCAAAAAAGCTCGCCGGCTCAAGCGGCTCAGAAAAAGTCCAAGTAGGGCCCAGCTCGGGCTCTGTTGCACAGAGCCGAGGCTCGGGCCGAGACCCATTTTGGGGCGTCGGCCCGTTACACAGCCCAACTAGTATTTAAAAAAAAAAATTTTAATTGCCTGCATTTACAAAAAATTAATACTTGTTTTTTGGAGTTTCACGTGACCACTTTTGCAGTTTTTCAACTTTGCAGAATTTCAGCTGATTTATTGGTCAAACTTGTATGGTTTTGACATGGGTTTACGTGTGAGGTAGTCTACTTTGGGATTCTCTTTCTAGTTGTATGCTATTTGACCTTGTGGAAGCCTACCNAAAAAAAAAAAAAACTTTTTTTTGAAGGCAGCAAGCTGCCTGTATTTTGCAGGCAGCTAAGAAAAAATAATAATAAATAAAAAATCAAAAAATCCGAGCCGGCTTGGCCCTCTAAGGCTTGGGCCAAAAACTCGGGCCGAACCTCATTTTTTTTGGTCGGGCTCGTCTCGGGCCCAAAATAAGTTCGGCCAAAAAAGTTCGAGCCGAGCCCGAGCTTTTTTTTTTCGGCTCGGCTCGGCTCGTTGACATAGCTAGGCAGGTGGGAGGGAAACATTTTTATATATATATTTTAAAATTTTTTAATTTTTAATTATTTATTTGTGATTCCTTTGAACTTTCTTGAAAAGCTTGGGACTACAATTGTAATTTATTCTTTTTTTTTCTTATTTAAAGAGAAGGGTATATTTGTCATTTCTTATATTTTTATTGAGAAAATTAAAGAAAATATTGTATTCCGCACAGATAATGTCATCGAAGGGGTATTTTGCCAAAATGAAAGAATAGAGGGATATTCTGCAATAGAGACAAAGATCACGATGGTTTTGCATCAATTACCCTGATGAATTTTAAAAGTCACTTTAAATTCAAGTGTCCCAAATTTAGATTTTATTGAATTTTTATTAGAATTCATTAAAATTTAGGTTTCAATTTATCTAGGGATCCCAATTGAGATTTTAATTAATTTCAAATTTAAGAGGTGTGTATTTAATAGGGACTTTTTAAAAATAAAAATAAAAATTGGGACTTAAAAAATTTAGATTTATTCAATATAGACTTTTTGAGACTCTCTAAAAATAATTATGTATTTAATTGATATTTTTATAGACTTTGAAAAAATCATTAAAAGTTACTGTGCATTTAATTAAATTTTTTTTGAAATCTTT